TTGTTTTGTGGGGCTGTTTGTTCATTTTGGGGCTGTTCATTTGAGGGGCTGTTTATTGTTTTGGGGCTGTTTGTTCATTTTGGGGCTGTTCATTTGTGGGGGCTGTTTGTTGTTTTGGGGCTGTTCATTGTTTTGGGGCTGTTTGTTCATTTTGGGGCTGTTCATTTGAGGGGCTGTTTATTGTTTTGGGGCTGTTTGTTCATTTTGGGGCTGTTCATTTGGGGGGCTGTTTGTTGTTTTGGGGCTGTTTATTGTTTTGGGGCTGTTTGTTCCTTTTGGGGCTGTTCGTTGTTTTGGGGCTGTTTGTTCCTTTTGGGGCTGTTCATTGGTTTGGGGCTGTTTGTTCATTTTGGGGCTGCTCATTTGGGGGGCTGTTTGTTCATTTTGGGGCTGCTCTCTCCCCTGCAGGCCGGAGCTGGAGGACTGGGGGTGGCAGGAGCTGCCAGGCTGCCAGGCTGTGGCTGGCAAAGCGTGTGACTTCTCCTCGGCCATCTCGGAGTATTACGATGCCCACTACATCCGGGTGCGGGCACACWCGGGGCAGGAGGAGTCTCCATGGTCTGGGATCGTGGAAATGGTGCCGTATCACAGCGGTACGAGCGTGACGTTGCCAGGGCACTTTAGTTCCTTTGATGCCTGATGATTTTTGCTTTTCCTTTTTACATTTTCTGTACCCTCTATGCATTTTTCTTTACCCCTTAGCCCACATGTTTGTAATTCCTGTAGCCTGATATTCTWGCTTAATTTAAGAATTCTGCTGGGCAGAGAAACCAAACATCCTCAGGAAGGGGTCAGTGTGCGCTGTGCTATCTTAAACCCGAGCTCCAGCCTTGGGTGAAGCCTCCTCTCTGGAATATCTTGTGTAAATTGGGCTCTGCCCCAACCTGGGGTGGGGTTCATTAGAATAGGGGGGGACATTACTGCCTTTGTGAAGTTTTTTATTGGGGAATCCTAGATAGATGTGCTAATTCCTGAAATCTATAAAACTTGTATCTATGCTATACACGGGGGTGCATTCTGCCATCAAGTTGTGCACCTGGGATCCCAAATACCGAGGGAAAACCCTTTTTATCCCCTTAACCGTGTCTGTGTCATTATTAAAAACTGGCYGGTTAAGGCAACACCTTTAGCACCCGAGGGGGGATCCTGTCCCTGTGCCCCATTGCTCAGTGAGATCCCACCTGCAGAGCTGCTCCAGCCCTGGGGCCCAGCACAGGGACGTGGAGCTGCTGGAGAGAGCCCAGAGGGGACACAGAACTGCTGCAGGGCTGGAGCCCCTCTGGAGCCATAGACAGCTGGGGGTGCTCCCCTGGGGAAGGGAAGGCTCCAGGGAGAGCTCAGAGTCCCTGCCAGGGCCTGAAGGGGCTCCAGG